CTCCCCACCATTTTCAGCTCACTTTTATGTGCTATCTTCCACTAGTAGAATGTGAGCTTCTTGAGGGTGGAGACTATCTTCATTTCTGCTTGAATTTGTACTCCCAGCACTTAGCACAGAGCCTGGTAAGGCTAAGTAAATGCTTTTTAACTTGGGTTGATCTGCCCTTTGTGTTTTTCATGGCAACTTTCAGAGGACCCAGGTGCCTCCTTGACAGCTTGAGGGGCCCAGATCCAGTATAAGGTTGTTCTGTGCTGAGTTAGCCCCACAATTGGCCAGAACACTCAAATGAAACCCTAGGCAGTGGCCAGACTACAGCCAACAATCTATCAGTTTAACATTATAAATAGGCTCTCGGTTATCAGGGGATTTCATCTCAGGCAACTATTGTTTCCAAGGAAAGTTCCAGACAGCATTGTGCTGCGGAAAGAGCAATGGAATGAGATTCAGAATACTTGAATCTTACCTTTACTGTCGACTACCTGTATGATCTTGGGCAAGTCTCTGGATCTGTTTCCCCATCAGTAAAAACAGATGATTGGATTTGATGGTTTCTAAGATACCTTACAGCTCAAAATTCTATAATCTCATATAGAGGATAGGGCCTCTTGAGTGGAAAAAAAGGTTCACTCATTAAAATATAATGTAATCTCTCTCTCTACCTTCCCAAACATTAAAGGCCTAATGTGTATATTATTATGGGAAATACAAGGATAAATCTTAATAATAAACATAATGTTGGTATATCTAGCCAGGATGAATGCTTGCCTCATAAATTTATTACATAAAGCTTTTCTCCCCCCCTTCCTGATTCCGAGTTCAGCACTCTAACCACTGTGGTACTTAGTTGCCTCAGGTAAAATGGAGGATAACCAGGCCTTACCATCTTCCCTATGATTAAGGTCCTCCATGCCCTCAAGACTCCCCTGCACTATTTTAAGACCTACAGATATAGCCTAAAGACTCCTGGACCTTTCCATCTGCCCCTTAGGACTTCAGGACCTTTCCATCTATCCTGCATCTGAACCTTCTTTTATATGTTCAATCTCCCCAATTAGGGTATGAGTTCCTTGAGAGCAAAGTCTATCTCTCCTTTATATGTATATCTCTAGTACTTAGTGCTTGGTATATAATATGTGGTTTATAAATGTTCACTTATTCATTCATTCTTTTATCTGTTCAAACTATACATACTGGTTCAAGGAAACTGAGGTACTCCATACCTCTAGCACAAATGAAGAATTAGGGTAAGGGAAATTCTGAAACAAAATTGAATGAATTAGCCTTATTTTCATGCTAAAATATTTCATAAAATAGTTTTGATACATAAGTTCATATTTAATATTTTAGGGGGAAAATATCACCAGCATTGGCATGTTGCTACGGAACTCATATTTACCTTATATGAATACCAAAGTTCCATGGAATATGGTTTGGAAATAGGGGATCACAGATATTAAGAAACATTGTGATTTAAAGTGTTTTTTTTTTTTAAATCCTATTTGGCAAGTGATGTTAGCAACACTCAGGCAGGGAAGTTGCATAGACCTGTTTTCTGACCTATTCAAGAAATACCTTAATTGGGATAACAAAGATTTTCCAAATGACAGAGTAAAATTCTTTCCTTCAATCTTTCATTAGCAATAGGCTAAGGTTGTAAATAGTATACAAATTCATTATTTTCATTTGTTTTCTGATACCTTATAAATACTATTTTAAGACATAATTAAATGGATTTCCAATAATTAAATAATATCTTTAAGTTATAATCTATTGCTTCAGATATATATCCCATTTTATCTTTCAACACCTACTTGAAAAATCTCTCATTTACTTACTTGTGAATGAGACAAATTTGACATTGGCTAATTAGGGTCTCTGAGTTTTCTCTCATACATGTTTTCCTTGCTAACACATGTAAGACCTAAAAGATCAGATTTTACTACATCTATCTATCTAACCTATCTATCTATACATGTAGGTAGTTATAGATGTATTTATGTACATGGGAGTATATATATATATGTACATGCATCTTAATTATTAATTGTTAATTGTTAAATGTGTTAATTATTAAAAAGACCTGATACCTTGAAAATATTAAGATGTTTAAGAAAAAGGCCTGTATTTTATGACTATGAGTATAATTACCGTAGCATGGGGTGGTGGTGTACATGCGGTAGAGTGGTATTGGAGGTGGTGTTCAGAAAGGGTTCCAGAAAAGCCCCATTTTAACAATGAAATGACAATCGCATGTGACAGCCATATCAGATGCTAAGTCTCCAAAAAGATGCTAACATCTTAACCATGAAGGTTTAAAGATCCTGTCACTTTCATGTCTCATTCTGTCTCCCTGGTTCCACTTTAATTAGTGAGCTCTATTCACCCCATAAGAAGCCTCATGAATGAAGGAGGACAGCAGACCCCATGACAATCTAATGCCCTGTTATGAATTGGTATGATGCCAAAAGGGGTTCAAAATGTTTTACAAATCAGTCACAGGGAAAAAAAAAAGAAGTAATTCTGCACACAATGTATTTGTATTCATTCTCTCTCCCAAACTAAGCTGCCTTGTGTGAGACATAGAATACATGCTGCAGTTGGACTTTCCGAGAAGAAACACAGTCAGAATAACAGCAGCGCAACTTTCTCTCTGTCCAATATAAAAAAAAAATCAGCATAAGCAAAAAAAAAAAGGTGGAAGAGGCCTTAGAAAAAAGCCATCTGCTTGGAGACTGAGAGCGCTTCCAAACTGATGCAGAAGTTGTTAACTTGGTTTTAGTGCTTTGAAAAAGTGCCAGCTGAATGGATGGTAATTTTTCTACCCCTGCAGGGCATCAAAGCTTATATGAAATCATTCTTTTCACACATATTAACACTTAGCTTATTAAAACAGATGATACTTTTATTGTAAAGTGGCCCAGGTAGAATCTAGAAATGCAAAAAAGGGAGAGAGGAGTTTCATCATGACCACCCAGTCTGATAAACGGCAAACAGGGACATGACAGACCGTGGCAGAGACGGTGATGTTCCTGGACCTTCTGGAACCACTATAGCTGAAGTGTCACCAGGAAGCTCGTGAATTGCTGTTATGAAAACATTTGCAGTGACTTGCATAATTAAAAGAAACTGCCAGGAAAGCTTTTCTAAAATACAGAGGGGATGTACACAAATAAATACACTTCAAAGGGAATATTACATTTCAGACTTACTAACAGACTGGATTATGCTAAACTGTATCAAACACTCACCAGTCCTTCCTTTCAACAGGCTCTTATATAATTAGAATGACTGACAGCATTGTGATTTAAATGGACTGCTCTCTTAGTCTATGGTACAGATTCACTCTGAGGGAAATCTGATGACCATGAGACCTCAAACCACAATACTCTATTTTAGAGAGTTGGCATGTTTAGTCTCAAACTGCAGTGCACGTATAATTATAATATTATATCTTCAAGCCCATATCAACTTGGTTAAAAAGATATATTAAAGTTATCTATAGTCATATGAAAAAAGTTCTAAATCACCATTAAAGAAATGCAAATCAAAATAACTTAGAGGTACCACATCACACCTATCAGATTAACTAAAGAGACAAAATAAGAAAATAATAAATGCTGGATCAGATGTGGGAAAATTGGAATACTAACGCATTGTTGGTGGAGTTGTGAAATGATCCAACCATTCTGGAGAGCGATTTGGAACTATACCCAAAGGGCTATAAAAATGTGCATATCCTTTGATCTGGCACAACCATTTCTAGATCTGTTTCCCAAAGAGATCATAAAAATGGGAAAAGGACCCACAAGTACAAAAATATTTATGGTAGCTCTTTTGTGGTGGCCAAGAATTGGAAATTGAGGGGATGTTCATCAATTGGGGAATGGCTGAACAAATCGTGGTATATGAATGTAATGGAATACTATTGTGGTATAAGAAATGATAAGCAGGTGGACTTCAGAAAAAACATGGAAAGACTTATATGAACTGATGCTAAGTGAAGTGAGCAGAACCAGGAGAACATTGTATACAATAACAGTCACGTTATATGATGACTAACTTTGACAGACTTATCTTTTCTTAGCAATGCAAGAATGTAAGACAACTCCAAAAGACTCATGATGAAAAATGCTGTCCATATCCATAAAAAGAACTATGGAGTCTGAATGCAGATCGAAGCATATTATTTGCTCTCTATTTTTTTTTGTTTCTCCTTTCTTGTGGTTTCCCCTATTGGTTCTAACTCTTCTTTACAACATGACTAATGTGAAAATAGGTTTAACATGAATGTATGTGTTGAGTCTATATCAATTTACATGCTATCTTGGGGTGTGGGGAGGGGAGAGATGAGGAGAAAATCTGGAACTCAAAATCTTATGGAAGTGAATGTTGAAAACTAAAATTAAATTAATTAATTAAAAAGATATCTATGTATATATGTATATATGTATATTCACACACAAATGCATCTCTCCATCTATCCATCCATCCATCTATCCAACATCTATCTATCTATCATTTATCATCTATCTATCTGCCTATCTAGTCCACTGAAAGTAGAGTGGCAGCATTTTGGCTATTTCTTTGTATCCCAATGAATGGGATATTTATCTTTAAAAAATCTAAAGAAGAAATGGAATCCATTCAAATAAGATTCTGTTTGTGGAATGCCATAACAAAAACAAAGGGTGGGTAGAATGAAATGACAATGTACGCAATGGTATAGTACTTTGCTCATTAAAATTAATCTTAGAATGTTTTTTGACCTTCTCAATCCAACAGTGACAACATTCAGACAATGTAGCCAGTGAAGGTTTCTATCAGCAACTGAACGAACTCTAAAAAGAAAAATTATCTATGCATGCACAGAAACAGAAAAGATCACCAGAAAAAAAAAACAACTATTCTGATCTGCATAAAAAACACCACCAAATTGCAACTTTGCCCTCTGTAATATGTCCCTAATGCCAACATGCCTTGCAAGAGTAGTTACTTACATCAAACAACTTTTCTATATACATTTCCTCATTGACCTTTTCTCGAAGGATATCCTGATTTTGCCGGACAAACATGATATAGGCATCAGATAAATCCATTCCTGGTTTCTGTTAGGAGAGAATTGATATATGAGGAGGGAAGGGGAAAGAGAAAACCAGAAAGAAAATCCGTCAGTCATTGTTTAGAGTTGGTATAAAGTAGCTCCCACTTATATAGAGATTTTGAGCTAGAAGGGCCCTTAGGTCATCCAGCCCAACTCCCTCATTGGTGCATGAAAGCTTATTTGACTTCAACCTTGGGAAATAATTGCTCATATTTTACAAGTTACATTTGTAAAAGTGCTAAGAATCTAAGCCAGGATGAGCACTTCTGGCAATTTACTATGTATATCTAAGAGGTAAAATACATGTTTCCCTCTTTAGGAAAATAATCAGAAACTCATGAGAGAGGCAAAGCAACATGGTGGGCAAAGCAAAAACAAATTGGTCTTGGAGGCAGGAGACTTGGATTGGAGTCTCGGCTCTGAAACGTTTTATATGTGCGACTCCTGGAAGACTTCATCAGCTGTGAACCTCATTTCTTTAACTATAAAATGTGAGTTATATTACTTGTTATACCATCTCAGAAGGTGGTTGTCATTAAAACAAATGGAGGTCAATGAACATGATGTATAGACATATACAAGCATGACAGGTCAGTTAAGTGCTCAGACATTTAAAATCATCAGCATACCATGAGCATTCCCTAATTATAACCACAATTTACTTTTCATTATTGTAGTAGAGATTATCTATCAATAAGTTGTTGGAACTTATGTGTTATGTAAAACTAGGCTTGGTTTTCTTTCTGAGTGACCCAAAATGTTATTGGCCACCTCCTTCAATGGCTAAGTGTATTTAAATAATATAAACATATCATGTAAGTCTAAGTAATACATAATTAGAGAGAAAATATTACGCAAATTAAAAAAAGAACTTTTAATGCATTCTGAAGCCCGGTACAAATGATTTTTGGATTATCCATCCAGAGGAAACAGTTTGGTGAAGTAGAAGGAGTAGCTCACTTGGAGTCAGAAGACTTGAATTTAAGTTTTAGATCACATGACATTTGTCAGAGTTTATTTACACACAAAAGCAGTCGTGTTCTAAGTCTTCCTAGTTGTAGTCTATAGACAGACAAACCAACAAGTAGAATGGATGAAGCCTGATTCTGCCTGGTTGTCAATGAATCATTTTCCTTCCCAACTCATCCCATGTCTTTTAAAACCACAGAATCTTGGGGTTGTATGGTCAGAAGGAATTTTAGACGTCATCTAGTCCAATCCTTTCATCTTATAGTCAAGGATAATTCTCTAGCCTCACGATAACTTGCCTTAGTGAATTCCAACTTAGTTTGACATAATCTATTTTGTAATCTACTTAGTTAACTTAGTTGACTAAGGTTTGGTGTTAACAATGACAAGACAGCAATCATCATTATTATCATTCATTCATTCACATAGTGCTTCAAGGTAATCAAAGCTCGTCTTACAACACCATTCCAAGGTAGTGTTTTATTAGTTCCATTTTACAGAAGAAAAAACTGAGACTAGGAAAGATTAGATGACTTGTCCGTAGTCACATAGTTTGTAAATATCTGAGGACGAACTTGAACCCTGGCCTCTTGACTCCATGCTGCCTCCCCATATGGGCTTAGTCAGTCCAGACCTACAGACAACACTCATAACCTTAATAAGCTGTGTGATCTACTTTCTAAATGAGTATTATTGGCCAGAAGAGGGACTGTGTAGAAGAGGGAAAGAACTAGGTTAAACATCACCCCAGCTGTTAGAACAATTCGAAACTTATTCTCTACTGTTGGTGAGTCAATGGTACCATCTATAGGTCAAGGGTAGTACATTCGTTAATAAAGGCTTTAAAATCCATCCTTTCTTTTGCATATTTAATATATTTCCAAACATTTTAATGTAAAACCAGGGCACAGGTTAGGCATTAGGAGAATGTGACTTGTTCAACTAAAGGTTATTTCAAAGGTTGGGTTGTTTTTTGTTTGTTTGTTTTTTTGCTTTTGTAACAAAGATGTTTTGAGCAAGACTAAAGGCTTTATTACCTAACAGCCTGAAGCTGAACAAACACTGTGCAAACTCAAGAGCCCTTAAAAATACAAGGCTCATATGAGCCTTACAAGGATCACTTATTAATATCAAAGAATGATGTACAGACATTTTGCTACTGGTATTTCTTGAAGAGCACATATCTATAATGCTGGTTACATTTCAAATATAATGGAGGCTTTTATAAGTTAATTCTTGAGTTTATTTTTGCCCTCCAAAGTCCAAAAACATCTGAACACATACATATCTTTTTCAAGTGCATGATTTTTAATGGAAAATTTTATCTCCACTGATAGAGTGGATAAAGAGGTGACCTTGGAGACAAAGAGACCTGAGGGTATGTCCTGTCTGACATACACTGGCTGTATGACTACTCTAGTATCTTTGCCAGAATCCCAAATGGGATCATGAAGAGTTGGATGTGACTTAAAAATGATTGAACAACAATATGACCCTGGGTAAGTCACTTACCCTCTCAATACCCTTTGAGAATGTTTAAGACTAAATTGACCAGAAAGCACCAACCTGCATTGGTAAAAGGAATTTCCTTGTCTGGAGTTACCCATACCAATGAAATCAAGGCTCCAGTTCTTATCCCTATCTGCTCTAGGAGAAAAGTCAAGAGAATTTTTTATTACGGTCAGCATCTTAAGGTTAACTAGCACTTAGGACAATGAGAAATTCTCAAGTACTGGGATTCTCTCGGGGCCCCTCAAGTACCAAAGACTGAAAAGTGAGGAAGTCCCATAGGCATCAAATAGCCCAGGAACTAAAGTGACAGGCAGGGGCTCCTCAGCCAGAACAATGGTGTGAACTCATGCTAGGCTCACGATAAGCAAAATACTCTATAGACAAGATGTGAGAGCTGTTGCATGGAGACAAATTAAATTGAGATTTAAAAGCAAGTCCTCCCACCTCTAAAGTTTTTATTTTATTGTCATTCAAAGAAACAAGTCCTTTAATCCAGTCAATCATTTGACCTGTCAGCCAAGACACTGTTGAATTACAGCAGGGAAGGTTGCCAGAAAGCGACAGTATACAATAGATTTAAAAAGTAGCCTACTCAGTGAGAAAAAATGAATGCAGACACCAGGATTTGGATTTCTAGATCAGATATAGGAATAAGGGGCTCAGGGCTAGGGCTAGGGTGCACATGATGAAAGTTAGGAAGGTTCTATTTCACCACAGACTTATAGCTCTGATAAAGAATTCTTTAAGATGAAACTGGAGGGAGAAACAAACTGGACACACACACACACACACACACACAAACATACCCACCCACAAATATTTGCTAGTGATTCCCCTTCCTCAACCTCCCAATTGCTTTGTATTTATATTGCATGTATTTTGTTCTTATCCATACTCATGTTGTCCCGTGTGTGTGTGTGTGTGTGTATGTGTCTGCTGTGGTGAGTGAAAAATTAAATGACTGAGGAAACCAAAGGTTTGATCTTCCAACCACATTGATTTATTAAGCAATGCATGGTAATTGCCCAACAAACCAGGACCAGACCTCCTCAGCTTAGTCTGGACCCCAAATATAGAAGGAGACAGACTTTTTATACATTAAAAACAATTAATCAAATAAGGTCAATTAATCAAAAGAAAAAAATACATTGGGTCATCTGATTTTTAATTGGATGAAAGATTAGGGACTTTCCAAGTTGGGAGGGGGAGAGTGAACAGGTGCAATTCCCTGAATTCAGAAAAGAAGATGTCCCAATCCCTCCAAGTGTCTATAAACAATCAAAGGAACATGGAAACAATATCTGGTTAATTGGTATGGGGCCAATTTTCAGATAAGACATATGGGTTGCTTGAGATAGACAATTGTGAGAAGGCTCCTTGCATCAGTATTTGAGTCTGACTGGGTTTCTGATCAGTATTACCTAGGTCTTTGGTTCAGGGTCTCTAGATAGCATGGAGGGGTGGTCTGGCTTCCCAGCCATGCAAGACTAGGTTCAAACAAGGCAGCAAGTTTTTCTTCCACTTCCCACAATTGAATAAAGTTTTCTCACAGGACAGAAGTTGGATTAGATCCATAATTGAATAGAAAGGGAACTAAGATCCAGAATTGAGTCACAAGATGAAGTCAGTGTGGTACACTCAATTCCCATTACCACTTGCTATCCTCATCCCCCAAATCTCTCACTGCTAAGCCCCATATTTTAAAAAGGGGTAATAGTAAATTCTTCCTATTATTATTGGAAGAATATCAATATAGAGGTCCAGGGGACATTGCCCAAGAAAAACAGGTATAATAATGGTTCTGATCATACATACATATGTGTGTGTGTATGTATGTGTGTGTGTGTGTGTGTGTGTGTGTGTGTACACCACATAGTTATACAGGGTATGGATAATTGAGTAAACTAGAGATCTTAATCCAAGGAGATAAATGTATTTAGCCTTATCAGTATCACTGAAGACCTAATGGGATGGTAATTACAGACTAGAATAATGCAATGGAAGGTTCTATCTTATTCAGAAGAGAAAGATTAGATAAAGGGAGCAGAGATGTGAAAGTATACATAAATGGTACTGTATATTTCCCATAAGGGAATACAGAGAGAGAGAAGGGGAGTCATATGATAGAGAGGATAAGCATAAGAGAAGACATTTGATTGAGATCAACAGAGGGAGAAGCAGAAACGATACTATCATTGATGCATATAATATACCACCAGAACAGAAGGAGGAAATGGATGATGTGTTTGGGAAACATATCACAAACTAAATATGACAATGATAGGGTACTATGTGGACATCTTGTGGCAGTCTCTCACTATGTTAAAAGTAGAGTAGTTTATAAATTCATGACTTAACTCGATAATTCTACCCTTCAGAAATTGAAGGGACAAGAGGAATTGCTATTTTAGACTTGATTTTGATAAGTAAGCAGGCTCTTCCATGTCTGTGCCTTTTCACAAAACAGGCCACTATCCGTGCTTGGAATGAACTCTCCCTCCTCATCTTTGCTAATAGAATTCC